TGCTGCTGCTGCTGCTGCTGCTGTGACAGACCAGCAGCAGCAGCAGCAGCAGGACCTGGAGAGGCCCCTCAGACCAAACAACTGCATGCTGCAGCAGCACCACCGAAGCCACGAGGGCGTACCAGCAGCAACAGCAGCAACAGCAGCAGCAGCAGCAGCAGCCTCACCATTTCTCTGTAGCAGTTGACGGGAACAAATTGCTGCAGACCCTCCAGACGAGCTGATGCGTAGCGCGGAGGAGGCAAGTGCTCTGGCGCTGTGTGCAGCAGCCCAAACCCTAAACCCTAAACCCTAAACCCTGAAAGCCCCTCTTTCATGTTTATTTTGAAGCATTGAATTGTGAGCTGCTAAACCCTAAACTCTACACCCGGGCAGAACCTCAACGCAACTCCCGAAGCCCTAGCTGCCGCCCCAAGTACACACCGCAAACCCTAGCTCTAAACCCTAATCCCTAAACCCTAAGCCCTAAGCCCTAAGCCCCAAACCCTAAACCCTAGATCCGAAACTGCCCACATACCAGGAACATGTGGGTGCTGCAGGTCGCGAGACTTCAGCTTCAAGGGATGCTTTGAAAATCGCAGCTGCTGCAGCTGCTGCCATAAGGCTGTGCTGCTGCTGCTGCTGCTGCTGCTACCGCTGCAGCCGAGAGAAGGAACGCTGCAGCTCCATATCTGAGGAGTGCAGACGGAGGTGGCAGCAGCAAGACTCCAGTTGCAGCTGCTGTTTGTGCCGCTGCTGTTTGTGCTGCTGCTGCATCTGCTGCTGTAATTGCTGCTGCTGCTGATCGCGGTTGTGGGGCTCAGGGCTGCGAAGCGTCTCTGTGAGGCAGCTGGAGAGCAGAGCAGCCTGCTACTGCAGCAGCTTCTGCTGCCGCAGCAGCTGCAGCTGCTGCAGCTGCTGCTAGTGTTGCTGCTGCTCCCGCCGAATGAAGCTCTGTGTATTCTCAAAAGTGCTGCACATCGCGCTGCAGCTAAGCCGACCAGCGAGTGCGCTTTCCCTGCTGCTGCTGCAGCTGCTGCAGTTGCTCCTACTGTTGCTCCTGCAGCTGCTGCCCCGAAAGCGGGGCTCGCCATGGCTAGCTTGCTGCTCCAATGACTTCAAATGAACAAATGAATTATTTAATCATTTTAATCCCTCGTTTCAACTCTAGAGTGAGTGCATGCGCAGTGCATGCACTGAAAGGGCAGCCCCGAGGCTGCTGATGGGGGCCCCCGGGGGCCCCCGGGGGGGCCCCCTGGGAAGCTGCAGTACTCCCCTTAGAAGACCTAGCTGCAGCAGCAGCAAATTGATGCTGCAGCACATACCGGAGTTGGAGCTACTGTGGGCAAAGGTGTAAGAAGGTAAGGGCTAGCAGCAGCAGCGAGCACCCAAGCAGCAAGACCTGGAGCAGCAACAGCAAATGCGGGAGATTATCTCCAGCAGCAACAGCTGCGGCAGCAGCGACGACGAGCAGTAACCACAGCAGCAACAAGCTGTAGCTGCAGCAGCAGAAGCTACAGCAGCAGCAGCAGACCAAGCTGACAAGGACTGTGAACAAGCAAGAGCACCAAAGCCACAGGAAAATGCTGCTGCATTCTGGGTGTAGAATGACAGCCGCAGCACGCTGTGCTGCTGCAGTGCAGAGTCAAACCGCTGGTGCAGCAGCAGCGCGGGCAACGGCAGCAGCAGCAGAAGCAGCAGCAGCAACGAGTGCCGCAGCAAAGCATCCATGGGAGCCTCTGGAAGCCAATTCTGCAGCAGCAGACCACTCGGGGGCCGAAGCAAAGCCGCTTTCGCTGTGGTTGTGCAGCAGCAGCAGCAACAGCAGCAGCAACAGCAGCAGCAGTCACAGCAGCAGCCACAGCAGCAACAGCAGTTGCGCGCGCAAGCACAGCCGCTTACATGGCGTGCTGAGGTGTACGTCCAGCTCCTGCGCCTCTTACTGTTACTGCAACTTACTTCTGCACCGCCAATACTCATGCAGCAGCAGCAGCAGCAGCAGCAGCAGGGGAAGCACCAGCAGCAGCAGCAGCAGCAGCGGAAGCAGCATTGGAAGCAGAGTGCGCAGCTATTCCACAGGTAGCTTGAACAGCGACAGCGAAAGCGTAATTGGCGGCAGCAGGGGCAACGCCAGCAGCAGCAGCAACAACAACAACAACGTCAGCAGCAGCAGCGACAGCAGCAGCAGCAGCCGACGTACGGACCCATACCTGTGTCTGGGCATTGCAGCTGTAAGAAGGGCCCTTTCTTACGCTCTCGTCGATGTAAGGATCTGTCAGTTGTTTGCTGCTGCCGTTGGTGCTGCTGCTGCTGCTCTTGCTGCTACTCTTGCTGCTGCTCTTGCTGCTGCCGTTGCCGCTGCCATTTGTCGCCGGCCACGCTGCCGGCGGTGGCTTTGTTGTTGCTGCTGCTGCTGCTGGTGCTGCTGCAGCGACGGATTCTTGCTCTTGTAGCATTACAGCTGCGCATGCGCGCAAAATCAATCGCAGCTGCCGATGCTGCTGCTGCTGCTGTTGCTGCTGCTCAGGGCTCTACTTTGCTGCCTCTGCGGCTTGGGCTGTTTGACTGGTCAATAGAAAAAGAAATAAACAACAGCCTCACGGCGAAGACGCAGCACGTCATGCATGTCCTGACGCAAGTCAAGCAGCAGCAGCAGCAGCAGCAGCAGCAGCAGCAAGAGCCCAGCGACAGCAGCAGCAGCTGTCGCTGGGCACTTGGCATTCAGTCGCCCCTGCGGCTGCCGCGCTCTGTGTCTGACCTGCAGCGGCAGCAGCAGCAGCAGCAGCTGCAGGGCTCTTTGTGTGTCTCTTTAGCTGCTGCTTTTCAAGTCCACAAGATATACAGCGTGGAGCCTCAGACAGCCCGACAGGCTCTTGGTGAGGACATGGCTAGCTAGCTAGCTGGCAAGCTAGCTAGCTAGCTAGCTAGCTGAATAGCTAGTTGGTTAGCTACATGGCTAGCTATTTGGTTAGCTGGCTGGCTAGCTAGCTCAGCTAGCTAGCTAGCTAGCTAGCCATACTCTTTGGGCATTGTGTGTTTAGGCATTCGTGTGGGGCGCAGTTTGCCTTCGCGAGAAAGCCTTTTGAAAATGCTGCGGGAAACGGTAGGCCCTTGAAGGCAAAGCCACCCAACGCAAGAATAGCAGCAGCAGCAGCAGCAGCAGCAGCGGCAGCAGCAGCAGCAGCAGCAGCAGCAGCAGAAATGGGTGTGTGTCTTCGCTTCAGGTGCCGAACTTTCCCGGTGGCTGCGAGTTCAGTTCGCTGCTGATGGCTGACGCGTGGCTTGTTGCTGTTGCTGCAAAGGTTTGTTTTCTTTTCTTTTGCTGCTGACTTGTTTTTTATTTATTCTTTTTTCTTTTTTTTTAATTCCGATGAGCTTTGCATGTCCCTAGCTGGCGAGCTAGCGAGGAAATTAGGTGGCTAGCTAGCCGGCTAGTTGGCTAGCTAGCTGGCTGGCTAGCTAGCTGGGTGGTCAGCCCAGTACGCTGCTAGCTAGCTAGCTAGGTGGCTAGCCAAGTGGGTAGCTAACTGGACAGCTAGCTAGCTAGACAGCTAGCCGGCAGCAGTGGCTGTATCTTATTTCCTTTCCCTTGTTTCCTGCTGCAGCACTTTTGCGCTTGCTTCCGCGCCGTTGCGGAATGTATTTGCTGCCTCTGCGCAGCTTCATCGCTTGCTGCTGCTGCTGCTGCTGTTGTTGCTGCAGCGACGTTTGGACACTGAAGCAGTGCTCGAGCAGCTGCGTTCTCTTCAGCAGCAGCAGCAGTGGCCTGGTAGCGGTGAGGCAGGAGTTCGTGCTGCTGCTGCTGCTGCTGCTGCTGTTTCCCAGCAGCAACTGCAGCAGTTACTGCAGCGGGTGTCAAAGGCACCCGTGCTGGCGAAGCTGCGGGAAGCAGCAACAGCTGCTGCTGCAACAAATCCCAAGGCTGGTAAGGCATTTCATTTTTTCGCTTTGTGACTAGCAGCACCGGCAGCAGCAGCAATCGAAGACAACGCAGCAGCAGCAGCAGCAGCTCGGGGCAGTCTTGCGTGTGACTGCTGCGCATGCAGCTCGGGAGATGGAAGTGGTGCTGCAGATGAAGCAGCAGCAGCTGCTGCAGCAGCGAGTGCAGCAGCTGCTCGACACACAAGAGCAGCACATGTGGGACGTCTTCAGAGCAACGGAAGCACCAGCAGCAGCAGCAGCAGCAGGACAGGCAGGTAGCAGCAAGTCCGCCCTAAGGGGCACTGTGTGGGAACAGTGATGTGCTGCAGCAGCAACAGGTACAGCTGCAGCAGCTACTGCTGTCTCATTGATTGCTGCACATTGTGAGCACACTCGCTGTCCAGTAAACGGGAAGCTACAGCAGAGAGCTCTGCTGCTGCAGCTGCTGCAGCGGCTGCATTGCTGCTGCCGAGCAGCGACTAGCTCGGCGGCGGAAGAACATAAATCCCCAACTTCAGATTTTGTCTTTAGTACTTCTTTTGAGTCTAGACGAGAAATAAGCCCTGCAATGCCAGCAGCGCTGCTGCTGCAACGTTCACCTTGGCAGCAGCCGCAGCAGCAGAAGCAGCAGCAAAAGCGGCAGCTACAACAGCCGCAAAAACGGGTAGGCAGGGCTGCTGCTGCAGTTCTGTTCACAGCAGCAATTGCTGCTGTGTCCCTACCACATGGATTGCCAAAAAGACGGGATAAGTAAGCCCAGAGCTGTTCGCTGCGGGAGCAGCAGCAGCTCAGCAGCAGCAGCTCAGCGGCAGCTACAGCAGCTGCGCAGCAGCTGACGCCAGTCGTGGAGTGTGTCAGCACTTCACGAAGGAAGAAACAGAAGCACAAAGAAGAAAAGAACAGCAAGAGGCAGCAAACCAAAAACAAATAATGCAAAAGTGCTGCTGCCGATGCATACAGCATCGCGCCCTAGGCCGTACAGCAGCAGCAGCAAGCTGTTGGGGTGCTTGGGCAGCAGCTGCCAGTCGAGAGGCAGCTTCATCAGCTGCAGCTGCTGCCGATGCTGCTGCTGCTGCTGCTGCCAGTCGCTCCAAGCTGCAGGAACTGCAGCAGATCCAGTAAGTGCGGGTGCAAAGGCGTCACCAGCAGCAGCAGCAGCAGCTTCTGCATTGAAAGGCATGTGGTGCTGCTGCAGCTGCTGCTGCTGCAGCACCCCCGACCCAAGCCACTGCAGCAGCAGTTCCGGGGTCGGGTACTTGCTGCTGCTGAGAGCAGCGGCACTTTCCTTAGCGTAATCTGTTGCAACTTCAAACAGACGTTGCCGCACTGGCTGCTCACAAACGCATGCAATCAAGCGACGCCCCCTTGGAGCAGCAGCAGCAGCAGCAGCAGCAGCAGCAATGGTAACAGCGGCAACAGCAGCAGCAGCAGCACCCGCGGCAGGAAAGCTTACCGACAGCGGCGTGAAGTCTGTGAACAGCAACACAAGCAGCAGCACGGAAAGCAGCAGTGCTGCCTTTCTGAGCAGCAGCCACCGGCGAGTTCGCTTTTGCTGCTGCTGCTGCTGCTCCAGCATATTAGCAGCATCGCCTCTTATCTTGTGGATGTCGTCCATCTCAATATCCGCGTCTGCCTTAGACTTTGTTTTTTCTTGCTGCTGCTGCTGCTGCTGCTGCTGCTGCATCCGCTGCTGCTGGCACTTGCTGGCGGAGCCCGCCAAAAAGGGCTGCAGCAGTTGCAGCGGCGGCAGCAGCAGCACTCCCAGCAGCCAAGACAGGGACACATTGCATGGCTGCAAACAAAACATAAAGCAGCAGAAGCAAAGACAGCCTGCAGCAGCGGCAGCAGCAGCGAGGCAGGCGCAGAAGGAGCACCAGCAACGACACCTACAGCAGCAACAACAGCCGCAGCAGCAGCAAGGCTACGAACTGCAGCCCCAATACGGGCAAAAGCCCCAACGTCAGTAACTACTGCAGAACAAGCAAACAACAACAGCAGCAGCAGCAGCAGCAGGAATTACAAGTAGCGTGAACATGATGACCACCAGATAAAACCTGCAGCAGGCGCGCAAGCAAATCCAAACCGGCGGAGGAACAGAAGGTGGCAGCCAATTGTCCAGAATCACGTTTGCTGCTTCCATCTGGATTTGCTGTTGCAGCTCCTCCTGCTGCTGCTGCTCTTTCTGCTGCTGTGCTTGCTGCTGCGGGCTCAGCTGATCTGCAGCGCCGTCAGCATCCGCTGCTTCCGGACTCGAGCGTACTGCTGCAGCGCTTGACGCCGCGTCTGCTGCTGCTGAGTCTGCTGCTGCTCCTGCTGCAGCATCTGCAGCTGCGCCGCGTGGGACTCCTGCTGCTGCTGCTGCTTCTGCTGTATTTGTTGCCTTGTCGAATATTTCCGCATATGTTGCTGCTTTGATCCGTTCAGGTGTACTGGGCGCGACAAAGAGAGCGCCAGGGTCGCTTTGCTGCGACTCGTGCTCTCCCGCTGCAGCAGCAGCAGCAGCATAAACTCCAAAGAGTTGAGGCAGCAGCAACAGAAGCAGCGGCAACGGAAGGGGCACCACCACAAGCAGCAGCGGCGACTGCAGCAACAGCACCACGATTCGCCATAGCGGCACTAGCAACGTCGGCGCCCATAGCAGCAGCAGCAGCAGCAACAGCAGCAGCAGAAGCAATAGCAGCAGCTTGTCCCACCTTGGAGCTGCATGCGCCGAACGCGGCGAGCAAAGTAGACCAGCAACACCAGCAGCAGTATGTAAGCAGGAACTGCAAGGTACAGCCAAATGGCGGCTTTCTGAGGCAGCAGACAACGAGCAGTCACAGCCGCAGCAGCAGCAGCAGCAGCAGCACGTCTTGCGACAGCCACCGTCACCCAGCACGCGCAGGCTTACTGGACAGTAGCACATCTACTGACGCAGCAGCCGAGTCAGAAGAAGCCACCAGCAGCAAAGCCCGCACAAGCAACAGCAACAACAGCAGCAGCAGCAGCAACAGCAGCAGCAGCAGCAACAGCAGCAGCAGCAGGTGGCACCTGTGCGTAAGCTACAAGGTCACGCGGGTCCCACTGGGTGCAGAGAGGGGCAGCAGATTTGCCGAATAAGAAGAGGCCAAACTTATCCTGAAAAGAAACTCAATAAAGTGCTTTGCTGCTTAAGAAAGCGGCAGACAAACTAGATCACAGCAGCAGCAGCAGCGGCAGCAGCAGCAGCAGCACATACGGCAGCAGCACAAGCAACGGCAGCAGCAGCAGCGAGTGGCCAGAGCTGAAGGCAACAGAGACGCACGACGAGGAAAGCGAGAAAAAGAAAGTAAAAGAAGGATGGAAGTCAAAAAGAAATAAAAATAAATCAAGACTTACAGAAGTTGCAGCAAGATAGACAGGAAGTGCAGCAGCAACTGCTGCAGCAACACTCAATATGCCGATGACGAAGATGCGGAAATCGGAGACCACGCGAGAAGCCAGCAGCTGCAGCACAGCAGAGGCGCAGCAGCAGCAGCGCTTCCCGCAGCAGCATTTGCTGCGGCAGAAGAAGCATTGTAAGTAGCAGCAGCAGCAAGACCACAAGCTCAGCAGCAAAACAGCAGAAGAAGCAGAAGACAAAAAGGCCGCAGCAGGAGGAGCAGCAGACGCCGAGATGCGGCGGCAGCAGCAGCAGGCTCAGCAAAAGGAGCACCGCATGTCACACGAACCAGAAGCAGCGCTACAGCAGCAGTAGCAGCAGCAGCAGCAGCAGGGCTCACTGGGAGGGCTACAGAGAGGACTAGAAGAGGCGTGATGAAAATGAAAGTGCCCCCTGAGACATGAGTATTTCTGCTGATGAAAAAGTAACTTGCAAATGAGCGAAACAAAGAAGATTCAACATTGCTGCAGGAGTGAGCCATGCGCTCCATCATCCTGCGCACAAAACAGCATATGCTGCTGCTGCTGCTGCTGCTGATGTTGCTGCTTCGTTTGTTGCTGTTCTTGCCAAAGCCGCCAAAGCCGCAGGCGTTGCTGGTACTGTGTATGCTGGCGCTGCCCTGCTGCTGCTGCTGCTGCTGCTGTTGCCGCGTGTGGGGCCCGCGGCACATAGAGCTGGCCCAAGCGGGGCATGTGGAAAGAAGGAAAAACAAAAGGCAGCAGAAAGTGCAGAAGCAGCAAAAGAGAAGCAGCCAGGCGATATAGCCCGAAACAAAAAGCAGCAGCAGCAGCAGCAGCAGCAGCAAGACAGCAGCAGTGAGCGAGCAGCAAGCGCTGAACGCGGTGCAGCAGCAAAAGGAGCACCACTGACTGAACCAACTAACTCCACTGATGCACACAAACTGCAAATGCGTTCCTTTTAAAAAGATTTACATTATTGAAAACAAAAAAGAAAAAAGAAAACAACAAAACTCACGCGAGCAGCGCAGCCCAAGAAATCGAAGAAGAGCCGCCAGGCAAACTCGGGTGCACAACTGCTGCTGCAGCGTTTATGCCTTCCCTGCAGCAGCCGCAGCAGCAGCAGCAGCAAGTGAACCGGCAGCAGCGACAGCCGCTGCAGCAACTGCCTCAGCAGCAGCAACTGCAGTAGCAGCAAATGCATTATTCCCCATTTCACCAACCCCGATGCGACAGACCACGTAGCTGTTAGTGCAACACCCCCCCGAATACTCAATCAGCCTCAAATCCTAAACCCCAAACCCCACACCCTAAACCCTAAACCCTAAACCCTTAGCTTCAAACCCTCACCGCAAAAGGGGCTCCACAGAAGTGTGGGCCCCCGCGCCAATCGCGGGCCGCCAAGCTTGTTCCCAAAACTGCACACGCAGACCACAAGGTCCCAATCCCGGCAGCAGCAACTGCAACAGCAGCAGCTGCAGCAGCAGCAAGTGCAGCAGCAGCAACTGCAGCGACAGCAGAAGTAGCAGCTGCAGCAGCTATAGCACAAAAAAGGAACAGGAAACGTCACTGTGGGGGGACAGGCAGCAGCAGCAGCAGCAGCAGGAAGCTGCAGGTGCTGCTTGTGCTGTTGCGGTGCTGAGGCCAAAAGTTCCGGCAAGATCAAGCAGAAGCCGCAGCAGCAAGCAGCAGCAGCAGCGGCGCCTACGCTGCGTAAAGTCAAGGGAATGGCTTCGCTGCGAGCCTCCATCAGCAAAACATTTGCTATGTCTTCGTTCGCTAGCTGCCCGTCGGCACCTTCTGCAGCAGCAGCAGCAGCAGCAGCAGCAACTGCAGCAGTTAGCACGTGACCGTCAGCAGCCGCACCATGTCCTGCAGCAGTATCGGCAACGTCAACTGCAGCAGCAAGAACAGCAGCACCGAGCAGCAGCAGCAGCAAAGGTACGTACCAAAGTCAAGATGGACAAAGCTTAAAGAGCCGAAGTCGGGCAGCACTGAGTCGCCACGAATACGGTGCTGGTGCTGCTGCTGCTGCCCCTGCTGCTCCTGCTGCTGCTGCAGCAACAGCTGCAGCGGCGCCAGCTGCTGTAGCGTCAGCTTGCGTGGAAGCACATGCGGGTCCGTCCAGCGGGCGCCTGCTGAGAGCGAAGCAGCATTGGCAGCAGCTGCTGCCGCTGCTGCTGCTTCTTCTGTGTCTGCCTCGATCCTATCTGTTTCCCCTCGAAACGCCGCTGCTGCTTCTGCTTCTGCTGCTGCTGCTGCTGCTGCTGCTGCAGGAATCGCAGCGTCTAGAGGGGCGTAGCCGCTCAGCTCCAGCACAGTACCCACATGCACAGGAACTGGGGGCCCCCAGGGGCCCCCCCCTGGGGGTTGCCGGAGGCCCCCAGAGGCCCCCCTGAAGTAGTACTCAGCAAACGCACGCAGGCCTGCAGCAGCAAGAGCAGCAGCAGCAGCAGCACAGCACAAGCAGAAACAGTGCAGCGAGATAAACTGGCATTTGGTACTGCTGCTACTGTTGCTGCTAACCGGGTAGCTACCGTGCAGCAGAAAGCACCTGAAGTGGCTGCAAGAACGCTGCAGCAACTGCAGCAGCAGCAACACGGTCAGCAGCAGCAGCAGCAGCGGCAGCAGCAGTACCTGCAGCATAAGGCAGCTGCCTATCTGCGACAACAATGATGACGTCCTTGGCTAGCCACGGAGAGTGCTGCTGCAGCTGTACAGTAAGTGCAGCAGCAGCAGCAGCAGCAACTCGAGCAGACACCCGCACGCCCTCTTGCTTCATTCCTTGCATAAGCCCGTCTAGCGGCGGCAGCTGCTGCAGCAGCTGCAGCCAGTCAGCAGCAGCAAGCCTGCTGAGCGCTGCTGCTGGGGCAGAGGCTTCTGCTGCGCCGTTTATGTTTGCTGCTTTCAGCAGGTGCTGCATCACAGCAGCAAATGCTGCAGCTGCCGCTGCGCCCCCCTTGGGTGCCGCTGCACTTGCTTCCGTTGTTGCTGTTGCTGCTGCTGCTGCTGCTGCTGGAGGCTCGGCAATCGGGTCATTGAAGTCATACAGAAACGGAAACAGAATTGCTTCCTGTCCATCCCCTCTGCTGCTTCGGGCAACTGCAACAAAGTTGAAGTGCAGCGTGGCAGCAGCTGGCGGAGCTGCTGCTGCTCCTGCTGCTCCTGCTGCAGTGCCTCCTGCTGCTGCTGCAGCATCTGAACACTCCACCAGGTAAAATGGCTGCAAGGAAGACTCAAGCTGCAGGGCAGCAAACAGCGCATGCAGCTCCCGCAGAGCAGCAGGCGCCTGCTGCTCTGTGCACTGCTGCTGCTGCAGCTGCTGCTGCTGCTGCTCCTGCTGCTGCATCCTTGGGCGTAAGCCGCTTTCTGGCAAAAAGATGAAAGGATAGCGAGATGGCTTGAGGGGGCCAGAGAAGCAAGGCGAGGGTGCAGCAGCAGCATGGTTCGCTGCTGCTGCAGCGGGAACAGCTGCTGCTGCTGCTGCTGCTGCCTCGAGTCTGAGGTAGACAAATGAAGCCAGTGAGAGAACAGCAGCAGCAAAAGGAGTCGCAGGCTTCCGGATTGCTGCTGCATGCTGCCCAGCAGCAAACGCATGCTCCTCAACTTCAGTGGGGTGAGGCCATGAGGGCAGACAAAACAGGTAGAAGAGGCCGCCTATAAACAGCAACGGGCTGCAGCAGCAGCAGCAACAGCAGCAGCAACAGCAGCATTTATAGCGATGAGACGGCCAGCAGCAGCAGCAGCTGCTGCAACCGCAGAAGCAAGCAGCTCCGCAGCAGGGCTGCAGATGCAGCGAGCAAACAACAGCAGCTGCTGCAGCAAGAATATTTCACCGGGCAGCACAAGTAGCTACAGCAGCAGCAGCAGCAAGACATAAAACGAGTGTCAGCTTCGCAGTGCGGCAGCAGCGCTACAGGCACACGAGCTGTAGATACACCTGAAGCAGCGGCAGCAGCAGCAAAACAAGAAGCAGCAAAAGAATAAAAGAAAACTTACGCTAAGGGCCTTAACCTGCGCAGCAGATACTGCAGCTTCTCTTCCCGGCTTAAGCTTGTGATGCTGCTGCTGCTGCTGCTGCTGCTGCGGATCTTGAGGCGAAGGCGCCTGATGATGTTTTTGGGGCCAAAGCGGCGCCAGGCCTCGAGAGAAAAGCGACTCATTGGCGCAGCCAGCCCGTGTTGCTGCTGCTGCTAATTTTGCTGCTGCTGCTGCTCCTGCAGCTATTGCTGCAGCTGTTTTTGCCCCTGCTGCGGCTGCTGCTGCTGGTTCTAGATCCCCTGCTGCAACCGTTGCCTCTGATATTCGTGCTGGTGCTGCTGCCTCTTCTCTTGCTGCTGCTGCTGCCGTTCTTGTGGCTGCAGCTGTTGTCGCTAGGGCTAGCTTTGCTGTTGCCGCTGCTGCCGCTGCCGCTGCTGCTGCCGTTGCTCAGCCTCACGGCTAGGCGGGTACTGTTGCAGTTGTTGCTGCTGAAGCCGGTGTGACTCGCGTTGCTCCTGCTGCTGGCTACGTGTATTCAGGTTCTGCTGCTGCGGTTGCTGGCTCTGCTGCCGTCATAACTTTGCTGCAGCTGCCGGCCTTGCTGTTGTGTTTCTCCCGGCTGTTTAGCCACTGTACACCTCTGCTGCTTGCTCGCCTCAAGTGCTGTTTGCTGCTGCTGCTTGCAGTTGAGGTGAACAGCGGTCATTGACGGTTTGCAGCAGCAGCAGCAGCAACAGCAGCAGCAGCAGGACACGCAGCATGAAGCCGCGCATAGAGCACGGCCAGTCCCCGGGCTGACTTGAAAAGCAGCAGCCACCTCAATTTCAAATTTATTTAGTTTTTTGTATTTGCTGTTTTCCCCAAGAGGGCTTAACACACAGCGCAGCAAAGTCTTCCGAGCCAGCGCATGCGCAGCGGTAGGAGGGCCCCGCAGCCGACAGCAGCAGAACAAACGGAAATAAAGTAGTCTCTTAACAACTCTAAATTTGCATTTCTCTCTTAATATACATTTTTGACTCCTTAAGGGTTTGATTGGGGGCTTAGAAGCGGACCTGTTGCCGCTGCTACTACTGCTGCTTCCGGTGCTGCTCTTATGGTGAGTTAACTGTTGCTGCAGCAGCAGCAACAATAGCAGCAGCAGCTGCAGACACAGCAGCGCCAGGTGCAAGATCTGCATCAACAGTGATAGCCACAGGACTGCAACAACTTCAACAACACGACAACGGCGGCAGCCGCAGCACTGCAGCCGCGGCGCTGCAACACTGGAAGCAGCATCACCAGCAGCAGCAGCAGCAGCATAAAAGGTTGCACCGGCCTCAGCAGAAACGACGGCAGCGACAGCAGCAAGAAGCAGCAGCATGTAGCAAATATGCTTTTAGGGCGTGGAGGCCCATGGCCAGGCAGCAACAATGAGAGGCCCCGTGCCGCAGCTGCTGCGCTGTCTTTTCCTCTTGCTGTTATTGCTGCTGCTGCAGCAGCACAGTCCTGCTGGCTGCAGGTCCTTGAAGCGCAGTAGACTGAAGAATGTGCCGTCTCCCTTGTCAAACGGGGCAGCAGCAGCCGCAGCAACAACAGCAGCAGCAAAGGCAGCAGCAAAATCAGCAGCAGCAGCAGCAGCAACCACGGCAGCAGCGCGGCCACGCGTTTCGCCTGCTCGGCAATGCTGCTTTCTGTCCGAAGCAGCAGCAGCTGGCGGAGCAGCAGTGCAGTGTTCCCGTACCGACGGTCGCCCGCTCAGCACCCGCAGCAGCAGCAGCAGCAGCCGCAGCAGCAGCAGCAGCCGCAGCAGCAGCAGCAGCTTGCATGCGTTTGGAATTCCGCTGTTCGACGACGGGCCCGCCCGCGGCCGCAGGGCCTCTGTGGACTTCGCCTACGAAATTGGCCAGCAGCAGCCCAACATTGCCTTTGAGTACCAGACGGCCAATTTGCTGTCGCAGAGAGTGTACGCTTGCTGCTGCTGCTGCTGCTGTTGCTGCTGTTGCTGCTGCTGCTGCTGGGAGCAGTGGGGGGCTGCTTCAGGTGCTGCTGCTCTTGCTGCCGCCGGCAGGCCGGGGGGTCCTGCTTCTGTTGCTGCTCCTCTTGCTGCTGCTGGCAGCGGTAGGGGTGCTGCCACTGCTGCTGCTGCTGGCAGGGATCGTGGCGCTGCTGCTGTTGCTGATGCTGCTGCCGCTGCTGCTGCTGTTGCTGATGCTGCTGCCGCTGCTGCTGTTGCTGCTGCTGCACCTTCTAGACGCTGTAGCGCTTTTGAGGGTTCTCCCTGCAGCATGTGTTTGCTGCCGCCGCTGCTGCCACTGTTGCGGCCGAAGCGACTGGTTGCTTCTGTTGTTGCTGCTGCTGCTGCATTTGCTGCTGCTCTCACAGGAGCTGCTGTCACATGTGGCTTTTGCCTGTGAGCGTGGCCGCAGCACCAGATTCCGCGCTGTGTGGGCTGTGTCACCGCTACTTTGCTGCTGCTGCTGCTGCTGCAGGCTCTTTGACCAGCGCGAGGGCTCTTTGGTCTTCATAGAAGAGGAGGGGCTTGGGAGAGCAGCAGATACAAAAATGACTGCAGAAGAAGCAGCAGGGGGCACTCGAATAGACCCGAACGTGAGCAAACATGCTGCTGCTGCTGCTGCTGCTGCTGCTGTTGCAGCTGCTGTTGCTGCTGTTAGCGATTTTCGCATGCCAAATGTTGCACTCTTGCGTTTGCCTCGCCTTGTTTTGTTTTTGGGGTGTATGGACAGGAAGTGAAGAAGATAGAGAACGTCTTGCCTACTTTCACCAGACCAGACGTATGCTTTTCTGCTGCTGCTGCTGCTGTGTTGTAGCTGCTGTGCTGCTGCTGCTGCTGCTGTTGCTAGCGTCTGATCATTTGAGTGTAGCTACCTCCCTTGCTGCTTGTATACCTCCTGCTGCTACTTTTTTTTCTACTGTTGCTGTAGTGCAGCTGCACGCACTACGGGCCGACGTCGGCCGCCGTCTTGCTGCTGCTGCTGCTGCAGTACTGCTGTGCTGCTGCTGCGCTGCTGCTACAGGGCAGCGGTATCCTGCGGCTGCTGTCTGCATGCGACGGCCAATTCGCATTTGTCTTTCAAGGCCCCCTGCAGCACCGCCTGGGGGTGAAGGAATGGGCCAGGCAAGTTTGAGGTGTACGTACACCTCAACAGGGTTTACTGTATTCTCATTTGCTGCTGCCATTTTTACCAGAACAACTTCGCCTAAGCCAGAGAGCTGGTGGAGGCCCTAGGGTTTAGGGTTTGCGGCTCGGAATTTCGGTCAAAGGGTTTAGGGGTGAGGCTTTAGGGTTTTATTCGGGTGGTTTATTTGCGGCTGCAGGTACATGATAACTTCAGTGTACCCCGAAGCCCAAGTGAAGTTCATAACAGAGGTAAATGATGAGGGAATTTCACTGAGTTTCTCGCGCAGTGCAATTAAGGGGCGAAGATTATACCTTGAGAGTTTAGGGTTTAGGGTTTAGGGTTTAGGGTTTGGCTGTTGCCTGTGCAGCACTACGCGGACCCCGATGATCGACCAGGGTGCCTTAAAGGGTTTATTCCCGACGAGGAAGTTTCAGAGGTAAACTTTTTCGAATCCTAAACCCTCAAAGCCATTCTCCTGCAGTCTAAAAGCTGTTTTCATACCCCCTGGCCTGTGGTTTGAGGGTTAGGGTTTTTTGAGGGTTTAGGGTTTAGGGTTTAGCCGTGGGTCTGTGCTGCAGTACCGCAAGGCAATCCGCTGGCGCCATCCTCGGCTGTACCACCACGAGGAAGGAAAACCCTTGCCAGAAGGACACATCAGAGCCCCTCAGCCAATACCCTGAGTTGCTGCAGCTGCCACTGCTGCTTCTGCAACTGCTGCTGTTGCTGCTGCAGCTACTGCTATTGCTGTTGCAAGAGCTGCAACAGCAGTATGACGCTGCGCAGCGCCGCATTTTTGCCGGTTTTAAGCCAGAAACGAAATAGTTGAACTGGATTTCAGCTTCCCAGTTTGTTTCAAGTTTATTTTTGCCAACCCAGTGTTCCAGTTCATATTATTCATCCATTTCTCGCCTTTTTTCCTCCACTCATTTGCTGTGCGTCAAGGCTTTCCTTGCAGTTTTGTTGGAGGCACTTTATATATCTGCTTGAATGGCAGTTGTCTAGTTTTCAAATTGTAAAAGTGATTATGCATTTATTCAATGAAGTTAAATGACTTTTGCTGGCAGCAGTGGTGTAATTGCTGAGTAGTGAAAGTAACAACATGCAGTTGCCACAGAAGACTTGCAGTGGAAGTAGCTAAAAGTAAACGGGAAAGATTTTCTCCAAATTCGAATTAAAATGCATTTCGTATCAGCGTATATTCTTATAAACACATTTATATTAATAAATTAATAAACATATGTATGCATACATTTATATGCATTTCTCTGTAAATATGTACAGATCTCTATCAACGCGCAAGTATATATAAAGTACAAGAAGAAAGGGAGACCAGTTTCTCGTTGTTGTTAATAGTTTGCTAGCATTTATGTTCGGCCTGCACTAGCTTTATCAATATGTGGGTAATGCAGCGTCAGTCCGCCACAAAAGGGAGAAACAAAGGCACTCAGCTAAGCCTCTTTTCATTTGCTTCTGCTCATATGTGCATAGCCTTATTCCACTCTGCTCATGGCCTTCTGAAGCCCTTCAACTGTGTAATTTATGTTTTCGGTTGTATGATACATTCTGGACAGGATAATTGCATTTGTTTTGATTCAAATGGTATTTTCAGATAACTAGAAACCTGCACTGGGTATCTTGTTTTTCCCGCCGCCGGATGCAAATTAAATCAGATCGGTTGCTTCACAGCTTAATTAAAAAGATATTTTATTCAAAAGTTCTCATTATAAATGAAAGTTGTCAGAATTAATGCTTGGCTCAGTGCTCACACAAGCGAGGCAGCTGCAACAAGGACAAAATATCCCGAAGTCCACCGCACCAGGAGCAAAACAGCAAGACTTGAAAATCTGTGATTGCTTCAATGGGCATCAATGCGCTTCATCGCAATATAATTGATAGTAACAAAATGCAGTGCAACATTTTCAGGAAAGATCCACGCATTCAAAGCCTACCGAGTGCGAAAACTGAGAAGACTATATTTAGAGTCTAGGGTTTACACAAGTCTAAGATCAAAGCACTAAGATCAACAATTTGCTATTAATTATTCAAATGGCGGCAGTATACGCGTAAATCGTACAACTGAAGTGGCTTTGAGCTGCGAAGCCCACATGCCTGCGCCTTTCCACAAATGCACCGTTGCAGGTAACGCAGAAGTGCATTTTGCATTAAAGAGTCACTGGATACTTAGAAGCGGCCACGAACATATTTTTAAAGAACAAACCAGAACCTTTGTGTATACCTCAAAATGACGGCCGCGTAGCCATGTTGAGACAAAACCAATAAAACCCACACCCAGGAGCAAACTGAGCCGTCCGCTTACTTGAAGAGCAGCTATGAAGAGCATAAAAGTAAGCGGTCGTGAAGAACAAGCGAACTCGTGATGAATTCGTTTCTTCGAAAACATATTGCGTAGCACCAAAGGCCGCCGTGACCATAAAACATGAGTCACTGGAAGCGACAGCTGGACACGACCGAAGCGAATTTGCAAACAAGAGCAGCAGCAGCAGCAGCAGCAGCAGCCGCAGCCGCAGCAACCGCGCCGCGGGGCGTCAGGCCTCGGCCTTGGCTTTTTTCTTGGGCCGCTCGCTGGCTTGGCGCAGCTCAGGGTACCTGTCGAGCAGCTGCAGCGGGGTGGGCCGCTTGGCGCGGTCCCTGTTGAGCAACTCGCTGACAGCAGCTGCCCAGACAGCGGGCACACCGACTTCGCGCAGCGCGTGGGAAGGGTGCTGCAGCGTGAGGCTGCGGGCGGTGTGGGTGGTGTCCAGCATGGCCAGGTACTCCTCCATGCCGCGGCCCGTGCGGATCCTGAAGGGAAGCCGGCCGTTGGTCATGAGGACGTAGCAAGTGAGGCCTGCAGACCAGGCGTCGTACTTGTGCGAAATGTTGGTTTCGCCTTTGCGCACGAAACACTCGGCGTGGGAAGGATCCATGAAGAGGGGGGTGATCTTCTCCGTGCACTTCCTGCGGTCGCCGGCCTCGCCGGCCATGCCGAAGTCCGCCAAGTGGACTTTGCCACTTTTACTTATCAGAAAGTTCTCCGGCTTTATGTCTGCGTGGCACCAGCCCGTTGCATGCAGCCGCGCCACCGTCTCGAGCACTTGCAGGCAAACTTGCACGCGGGCCTCCACGGGCAGCCGCTCCACGGGGAAGCCGTGGGGGCTTTCGTGCATCAGATCTGCTCCATCTCCCAACATAACTTCTGAAAGCAGCACAGAATTTCCAAAAACTGTGTTTTGATGCACCTGCAACGAGGCTTTCGGCGAGCCCACGGTGGCCACGAACAGCGGCACCACCCACTGGTTCTGGCGAGCCACTTTCCGCGCCGTCGGCGCCCCTCCCACTGCTCCTGCTGCTGCTCCTGCTGCTGCTGCCGCTGCTGCTGCCAGCCGCAGCGGCTGCCTCTCCGTCTCCAGCATCAGCTGCATGTCCTCGTGCACCAGCCGCAGCAGTTGCCGCGACGGCTGCTCCATCTCCCCCAAGTAGTAATACGGCATTTTGACGGCGAACTCGTCCAGCCCCAGAGCCTCAGCGTCTGCGCTGTGGCGTACAGACACCGCAATCACCACGGCTGTGCCTCCAGCGCCCAACAAGCCAGTCACATCCACAACACATTTGTTCAAGACAGTTTCGCCAGTGAGGGCGTCGCGCAGGTTGTAGAGGGTCAAGTCGGGGCTCCCGCCGCTCATCAGAGAAAGGACTTCCTTCAAAACGTGCTCCAGCTTGTGCTTCTTGCCTTTTCCAGAGGCCTTCTTGTCGCTGGTCTTCGCCGCCTTGTTGGTCATCATCGTTTCAACAACTGCTTGCTGCGGGCGCGGCAGGGGCCCCGGCTTTCGTAGGTAGTTCGTGCTGCTGCTGCCGCTGCCGCTGCTGCTGCTGCTGCTGTCCGCGGAATTTTTGCCGCGCATCACCTGCAATACCACGTCAGCAAAACTCATCTTTGAGCCCGCCCGCCCTCGCCGCACAGCTTTGGCAACCTCGGCGAAGGTCTTGGGCACTGCGGGGCTCCTTTGGTAAGTGTTGTTGCCCTCAGAGTCAGCTATTTCTTCGACTTCTGGTTTCTGTGGCGGTGGGTGGCCATAGGCAAGGGCGGGCGCGAGCGCGCCCGCCAGAAACAGAAGAAGTCTCATGGGCGGAGCTGAGTTCGCGTAATTTGCGTAGAACGAGCCACTTAAACAAAATCAATTTCAATTCTATTTTATGCTCAAAATAAGATTTAAAACATTTGTGTTTGCACACGCGCCAACATGGCACGGCGTGCCGCGTTCTCAGCGGCCTCCCGACAAGGGGGGGTGGTGCTGTGCTGGCGCAAGCAGTGCAGCTGCAGCTTTGCCAGGATTAAAGGAAGAAATCTAATTTCTTTCGAAATCAGCGAAACGCATCTTTTTCACATTCATGCTTTGCCAATTAACCCAAGCGTGGGCAGGAACAGAAAAAAACCGATCCCCAGAAACCCCCGGGCACTCAAGTGCAGCCCGAGCCGTAGACAGATAGATGAAATACATTTTCCCCCACTTATTCTCAGGCGGCTGGGCAAAAGATTGAAGTTTGAGATTCTTTTTTAATCTTCAATTCTTTAAGGTCAGGTACGTAGAATAAAGGCGGGGAAATAAGAAGAGTTACAGAAAAGGCAGTAGGGTAGGGCGCTACCTTGGCTTGTCCCTGAGGTACTTCCCTCTTAACCCGATAATGTGTTCGTGTTCCGTTTTTACTTTTTCCTTTAAATTGCATTAATTGCTGATGTTATTGAGTCTAGTGGTATGATTGTGGGCGTCTTGCGCGGGTTTTGCAGCCCTGTCTATATATGGGCGGCGAAGGCGGCGCCGACACAGTACCGTGCTGCTCTGCTGCATCAGAAACACGATTGTCTTTGTCTTTTGAAATAACAGGCTCTGATTAATTAAGTGTGACATTTCTCAGAGCATTTTTTTGGCTGCAATCGTCTTATACTGGGAGCTGGGATCCAATCCAACGGATGATCTTTCATAACAGAGGTCTGCCTAAACTTGATAACGAACAAAGTGGGCCAGTTAATCCTTTTAATATCATATTTTCCAAAAGTCCCTCAACTTATTCCTTAATGAACAAGATATATGCATTTGAAAAAGAGCATGACGAACTTCAGATCTAGCTGCGTAGGACTACCGGGCAAACAAACAAGGCAGGCAGAACTAATAGCCGGACGCCAAATGCACTTATTTTCTCCCTAACTATTGAAAAAAAAAGGGCGAAATAGTGCTGATCATAAAGATTTCATAAACTGCTTCCCGAACCTGAAAGCCACCCCAAACAAGCTAAGAAGGAAGCAACGTTTCTCATGCCGATAGTGGAACCCTAGACGCTGAAAACCTTGAATCCTGAGATGAAACCATCAGTTTCTCACCACCTGGCTTGAGTATACTAAAACACTGCAACTGCTGCACTACCCTAACAACAAGCAATATGATGGGGGGGGAGCTGACGGATCTGAAGTAGAAGTAGGCAAAGGACTATACTGCTTGAATTCAGTTCAAAAAGGGTTTTTCCATCTTGTTTTCATCAAAAGCCAAATCAAAAATAAATGGCGAAGAGCCGCAATATATGACGAATCCATTTCGGCTTCAAACAAGGGTAAATTCATTTGCGTGCAGTTCAAGAAAATATAAATGATTGAGTAAAAATGCACCTAAAACGTACGTGTTTGACTCCACGTATTTTTAAACAATTCCAGGCCCCAAGAGGTGTTCCTACACCCCGCGGTTCCGCTGCTAGCCACCAACAGCGTAGCTAGCCACCGAAACTAGCTAGCTGTTTCTCATGGGCTGCCCAAACCGCCGCCACTTGTTCTGCATCAGAGGAAGCTTCTCCTCACGCATTAGCCCACAGTCTAAACCCTGGGCCCTGAGCTCCCTCCAGCCAGGCCCTTACTCGCTGCTTTCCACGGGAAAGTGGGGGTACTTTGCAACAATTTCCTGCGGGGTTGGTCTGGCTGTCCGGTCTCTGTTGAGGAGGCTGCCTACTAGAGAAGCCCAGAAAGGCGACACCCCGTGCTCCTTTAGCTCGTCTTCAGGGTTCTTGAGGAAGGGGGGGGCTCTGGGGTTGGTTTTGGGGTCTAAGTTGGCGAGAAAAGGGGTAACGTGTCTGGCTGTAGACATGCCGTACGGTAGTAGTTTTGCATCTGTGAGAAGGATATAGCAGCTGAGACCCACAGACCATGCGTCATACCTGGGGTCAAGATAGACAAAGCCGTGCTTAATGGCACAGGCTGCGTGGGAAGGCTCCATGTACATGGGGGTTAGTTTGTCTTCGCAGCTGCGCTTTTCGTTGGTCTTGCTGCTCATTCCAAAGTCCGCCAAATACACATCCCCGTTGTCAGCTATGAGCATGTTTTCAGGCTTTATGTCCCAGTGACACATGCCTGCAGCATGCAGCTTCGCCGTTGCTGCAATCAGCTCGCCACAAACGTATTCCTTGGCAGGAATGCCCAGCCGCGCCACTGGAATTCCAGAGCTGCTCCCGTAGATCAGCAAAGCTGCATCTCCGAGCATTATTTCAGATAAGAGCACTTTGCCGAGGAACGCAAAGCCTTCATGCACGTAAACTGCAGAGCCAGCCGTCCCCAGAGATGCTTGGTACAGAGGTAGTGCCCAGTGGTTATGGCTGGCTATTTCCTTAGAAGACGCCGCGGGCTGACCAGTGGTCTCTCCAGTGGCTTGGGCGGCGGCAGCGACGGTGTGCAGCGGGTCCAGCTCTTGTCGGAAAAGCTCTTCGAGGCCGTCGGCGACGCTGCGCAGCAGCTGAGGGGGCAAAGACGCAGCACTGGGAACGGTGGAAGGCTCTTCTGCCAGCTGTTCGTACATGAGTTTCATTGCAAGTTCTTTCGAGCCCAAGACCGCGGCGTCCGCATCCCCCACAATGCCCACAGCCAACACCATGCCCATTCCGCCCACGCCCAGCACACGCAGCTCCTTTACTGAACACTGAGGCAGCAGCACGACGCCCGTGATGGGGTCTGTTATATTTGTCAAGATTATTTCGTCGGCCGCGCCTCCCCCGCTAATCTTGACCAGCGCAGCGTGGGCCACATTCTCCACAGGATGTCGTGCAGCTCTGCCTGCTACTTCTTTGTCTCTTGCCTTTGCATCCACGTTCCGCTTCATTACCTGGACTACGTCTTCCTTTATTTGCTTCAAAATTTGCTCCCGCTGCTCAGCAGGCAGCTCTGCAGGCGCCTCCGGCAGCCGCGACCCAGCACCAGCAGCAGGCGCTGCAGCAGCAGGTGCAGCAGCAGCAGCACGGGGAGGCAGTACTGTCGCTGTGCGCAGCAAAGCACCCCTGCCTAGCACTCCTTGCGCCTGCATGGGAGCCGGAGCTGGCATTCGCAGCAGCCGCGCCTCTCTGGCCAGCGGCCACGGCTGCGGCCGAGGCCCCAGGCCTGCCCCCAGGGGCCTCTCTACCCTCGCCAAAGGGGCCACGGGTCTACCTATATGGGCTGCAGGAACTCCCATCGGAGGAGCAGGGGCTGCAGGCCTGATCAAACGGGCTGCAGGGGTCAGAGGCCTGGCTAGCTGGGCCACCTGAGCGCGGGGAAGCACGCGTGGGACTGCTCGCAGGGGTGCGTGGGCGACAGCCATAGGCTTGGCAGGGACGGGCATTGGAGCTCGCTCCCTCAGTCTGCCGTACATGTCGCCCAGGCGCATGCGCTGCTGCTCAGCCCCACGCATCTGCAGCGCGTGCTGCTGGGGGGATACTGCTCCTGCAGGCATGCCTAGAGGGATTCCGCGCAGCCGGTTGAGGAATGAAGCTGCCTCAAAGGCCCCCTCATCCTGTATTTTTAAGGAAGGTGATGAAAAGAGAGACAGGCTGCTGAGGTCTCTTCTGTCAGTTTTAAAGCCGAACACCAGGGCAGGTGACACCGCGAAAAGCAGAGCCGACCGCATTTTGCTAGAACAGCGCGGCAAGTAGAAAGGAGGGTAACAAACAAAGCAACGGGTTCTAAAAACCAATAAAATTAATGTATCAAGGAGCTCCAACTGGGGAAAAACTGCCCAAAACGGCTCTCTTGAAGCGACAGCGCTCAACGCAGGGAACAGATCGAGACTTAGCAGTTTCCGATGAGATCTACGTGGCCATATCTGTCAAGGTGCATTTAAGTGCAGCCTAAAAATAAGTTTTTTCAACGAGGAAAAATAAGGCACTAACAACGACAGGAGTTCTCGACTTGATGATGGCTATCAGCCATGGCTGCAAGGTGGGCTAGGGGGTCTGACCAGCGAGGCATGGTAGCCACAAGCCATTATGCAGATTCACTCCCGTTTCCTCCACGCCTGCACAATAATCTTGAATTATAAATGCAGGCTAAATTTTAACAAATTTAAATTTGTTGAGGGCACAGAAGTTGCATTAGCACGTTCTGCTGCGACAAATTGAACCGCTGCAGGACCGCTGGTCGCCAGCCGCCTGCTAGCAGGCCACATTGTGTGCGCCCCACGAGTTGCAATCAAATTAAATAGTTTTATTTTTTAAAATATTTATGAAAAAGTCTTTTAAGCTGCTGTCTGACCTGTGTTTCGCGCATCAAGTGGATACCTAGTACTCATGGTCCGAATCGGGGTCACCTCGCAAAGCCGCTAGCGGCCCACCCCTCCGGCGACACCAGTCGTTGCCTTCCTCTCGAAACAATCAAGCAATTATGTTACATTATTCTTTTTAAAGATTTCGAAAGTGAATTTCAAATAGTTTTTGCTACTCTGAGTTTCGTCTCAGTGTGATGTTACTGGTGGGTCACGAAAGTGCACCGACGTTGAAACAGCGTCAACGGCGCCTCCATAAACAGGCACTTATTGCCAAAAAAATGCTATTATGACTATTTGAGCGCTAATCAAATTGGTCAGAACTTGCGCCAGATGAACAATCGCAGACATGCCCGATTGGAATCGGGTGATGAACCTGGTGGCCAAGCTTATGCAAAGGCAGCGTATTACCACATTCTAGTGTCGTAGTGCAAACATACGACATTATTGAATCTCTGATGTGTCTTCCTGACGGCTCCAGTTCTAAATGCATGGTCGCATTATTCCTCCTCTTTTGTAAATGCAGCCGAGTACATCTAGTGAATAAGATTGACAAATTCTTGAGGCGAACGAGAAAACTTGCTCGCTGGACCTGTCACGTTACGTATAAAGTAACAATATCGTTAGGGAGACCGGTAGGTGGAATTACTATAGAGTGAAAAAGCAACCGCAGTTCAGTGCCTCTGGATAAATGAGGCGTTAAATATGCAGTCTGCAGTGTTCGTATGGATTATTTCGTTTTGCAGAAAACAAATGCTTTTGCACACTGCCAGGCGCAGCGTTGAGACACCAAAAGCAGCGAGCTCTGCCTTTCCCAACTTGTAGTGAAGACAACCACCGCAGGTTAAGGTGTCAATAGGGGAAGACAACACTATTAACGTCGCACACACGCTGTCCCACAGTTTGTTGAAGGTTGATTCAAACAAGAAGAGTCTACGCACAGGCTATAAAATAACAGCGGGGTCCAATGGTGCCACCCTGCCCACACTCGCGATTATTTCCTTCAGTCCAGCCTACCCCCAGCTCCATTAACACCACTGGCAATAAAAAACATTCCAAAGGCAAATCAGCGTTAATGGCATACTGCAGTGTAAGCAGCAGGGAGCCTCCTTTAATCCTGAAAAGCCTTTGCCACTCCTGTCACACTAGATCTTTTATTTTTGTCGCGGTGAAGCATCGAGCCGACAGCATGAGCCATCTTGGATGAAACTCCCAACTCTAAAAGTTTGACTGTGGGGTCTTCCAACGTATCTCCCTTCACAAGACTTGTCAATTTGGCTCGCGCACCCTGATTAGTGATGTCCATGGAGGCCAGTTGCTTCAGCAAATTCTCTCCGGGATTAATCTTGTAGGGCATTTGCCCTCCCGTTAAAAAGACATATGCCGTTGCCCCCAATGCCCATGCATCATAGGTCGTGCTTAAGGGCAAGCGGCCTTCGCGGATGGCGCAAGACGCAGTGAATGGGTCCATGAACATAATGGTGCCATTGTAACATGCCCTATTTTCCCCTGACCTTCCCACCATCCCGAAGTCGCTCAACCGCGGCTTTCCGCTGGGAGAAATAAGTACATTTTCAGGCTTAATGTCCATGTGGCAGTGACCCAACTCGTGCATTCTCGCCACACTCAGAATAAGTTCCTTGCAGAACAGTTCTCGGGCCTCCAAACTTGGCGCCAAATACGGCTCACCCTTGCCAGATGGCAAGCCCAGGGAATGTCCATCTCCCAGCATTAGTTGGGAAAGAATCACTTTGGCGCCGATCATGTGACCTCCATGGTGCTGCGGCCTCCGTCGTGACGACCCTACATAGGCCTCAAACAGCGGCATCGCCCAGCCGTTTTCTTGTGCTACATCTTTTGTGCTAACCCTGGCACCTTCTGTGAGGTTTTGAGCAGCCGCGAGGACTAGTCGCCTAACTGAATTTATCTCGGACGCGGTTATATCTTCTATCATATGATTTGCGTGCCTCAGTTCAGCCGGCGAGGGCGATGGGTTCGGCACAGGGAAATATGTAATTTTTGCTGCTAGCTGCTTGGCACCCAGAGCTGAAGCAGCATTGTCACTCAAAACCTCCAGTAGTAGCACCAGACCAGCACCCCCAACACCAAGCGCCGGCCCAACTTTCATGGCGACGGAGTGAAAAGCCAAGTCCCCAGTTGTTATGTCCCTGACGTTTGTTAGTATTATTGTTCCATCTTCAGTGTTACCAGGACACATGTACTTCAGCGCTCTTCGCACACTCCGCTCTACTTCTTGCCTGAATAACGACGACGGTCTCTTTTGCCTTTCGAGTCTAAGCACTTTAGTGTTGTGAGCAACAGCGTCAACCACTTCCTTTTGCAGTGCCTCCCTCCGCTCTTTAGTCAAAGGTGGCGTTGCCTCCTTTTGCTCCGGTTGTGCCTCCTCGCTCGCAGAGGCCTTCGCGGAAGTTGAACTCAAACGAATAGCACCTGTTCGCCTCAGCCCTGCCCCCGAGCCTTGGAAGGGAGGAAATTGATGCTTTTGAGGAGAAGAGATCAGGCGTCGGGCGAAGACAGGCTTGTGGGCAGCAGCAGATGACGGCTCCAACAAACGCGACTGGCCTCCGAGTTGTGGAGAGGCTGCTGCAGCGGTGCGCCGGGCCAGCCGGCTCTGCAGCACGGCGTCGGCACTGGTCCTGCCCACTTGGTTTGGCCAGGCATTGTTTTCACTGCTTTTAGCGCCTTCCGGAAGCCCATCAGCACCACTTCCTTGATTGATACGGCGTCCCAATTCACGAACCAGGCGGGCTCTGGGTGCTAAGTGGCGCAGGCGGTCCATCTGCAGCAAAGCTTGCGGGCTCTTTTCCTCTAAGAGCGCCACTGAGGAAAGATTTGCATCGTCGCTAAGCCGTGCATGCAGCTGCAAGCTGGAAACCAAGGCAGGCGCTGCTGCAGCTACCCAGAAAATTGCTGTCTTCATCTTGAAAATGGAAAGAAGGACAGGTAGATCAAAAGTCTTTGAGAATTACTAAAATATACAAACGTTTAGGGGTGTTTCAACCCCACTCAATAGACAGCTTGGAGAGCAAATCAGTGGAGTTGCAGGGCGGTTGATCTCGATTTGCACGCTCAGGAAGGACAACACGGGGCAGTCATAGTTGCCTGAAGAACCCAGCCTTAAACCGATGCCCTTCCCTTAATTTAAGTTATTTGATCAATTCTTTTCGAAAGGAAACTTCGCAAAATATGCGTCAGCAGACCCTTTCGGAGAAGGCGCGAAACTAAACCACCGCCGACGGACCACATTCTACAGACCACTCCGTGCCCGTCGGCTGCGGCCCGGATCCACTCGACACCTGTCCATATTTTCCGCAATTACTAGGAATGAAATTGAAAAATTCAGTGGCTTTAAATTTTTTTAGCTCTTGAAAGTGGGAAATGGCGCTTATTTTTGTTTAGGGGAATTTGATGGCCAGCCGTCCACACATCGTCGCACGCGGACAGTGTCTCCTGTTCCCGACGTGCATTTTAGCGTTAAATACAGGAGTAAAACTGTTATATTCAAACCTAAAGAGAAATGACATTTGCACAGTAAATCTCTGCTTGTTCACTTGTGAAATAAGTGTGGGAGAATAAAACCCCTCTTGCCCAGTTTCACAGCTGACGGCAACCAAAGCTCATTTGTGGATAAAGAGCGCAGATCGCGGGGGCTTTTCTGGGGCAAGCTAGCTGAGTAGAGGAATGCTACAAATGACATCATTAAGAGATTGCCTATGTAGGCGCTGTAGGGGCTTTTGGAGGTTGCAGCATGCTGCAGAGTTCGCGTCATTGCAAACCCTTTCATTTGGACTAATACTAAGCTATGTAGGCTTTTTCATCGCTGTGATGGAGGTTTAAGCAAAAGCCTTTCAAACAAATAATGTTTCGTCGTTTCCTTGCACCTTTTCAGGCACTCTTTCGCTGCTGTCAACTGGAAAAAGAGACCTACCGCAGAAACGCGAAAACAGAAATAGACGCCAACATCAACTTGATGACAGGGGAGAAAAGCAATCATTCAGAAAAACAAAAATGCAGGCGAAAAGGAAACAAATGGTGGAAGTGGATTACAATCTGCAGTTTAAAAAAACGCAGGAGGTCAGGCGCAGATTAGATGGGCAAACAATGGAAAGAGAGAGTAGCAAGCCAAAGAACAAACAAAAATAAGAGCAGACAAACAGCCAACCAGATGCGCCGGCAAACAAACGAACTGGCAAATAAACACAAGGGGAAAACAAAGACAAGTACAAAGAAAAGTGCAAAAATAAAGGTGAATCAGATAAAGTTGGCGCACTAGTGCAAACAAACAAAAGCACGCAAAGAAGAAGCAAACGAGACGCCTGATATATATATGAACAGGCACTGAGACAAGCAAACAACAAGACCGGACGAAATAAAAGAAACAAAACAAACAAATCAATCACAATTGATAGATTGGATAATAGAAAGTGTTTTAAGCAAATCCAGGCCTCAGCCACTAAATGCTCAGGGGTTGAGAAGGGGGCAAAGTTTGCACTTTCATTTGACGGCAGCAGCAGTAGTTTTTGCTGCTACTGTTGCTGGTGATGTGGCGGCTACAGCAGCAGCAGCAGCGACTGCAGCATCAACAATACGACCAGCAACAGGTGCAGCCGTTGTTGACCCCACGCACACTAAAAAGTAGGCCCGCTGACATTTGCTGCTTGTTGTGCTGTGAGTAAAGCCAATGCTGCTACTGTTGCTGCTAGTGCTGCCGCTGTTACTGCTACTGCTGCAGTTGCTGCTGCTGCTGCTGCTTTCTTTGCATCAAGGAGGAGATCATTCGCCTGAGTTCCGCGCACGCCTTAGCAGACGCAGCAGCTGCTGCTGCTCGAATGCCAGCAGCAGCGCAGCAGTGGCAAGAGTAGGAAAGCTGCTGCCAAGCAGCAGCTTACTTGAGGTTTAAGCCCCTAGTCTTGAACCTTAGAGTGTTAGTTTTCTCCTCATAACAGGTTCCAATGGTGAATTAATTTTGTGTCAATTTGGAATGCCAGCTTGAAATAAAACTAGACAGCATTTTGGAGAAAGATCGCAAGTGCAAGAAAGCTTAAGTGGCGCCTTCCTTGCTGTATTTAAAAACTTTTGACAGAGAAAAGGCAAAGATAAAACAGACAATACAACAGTCCCTTAGACCACTGCAACAGGTTCTGCAACAAGCGCAGCCGCTTCATGCGCAGCAAACCTGAACCAGGTGCAGCAATCAGCGGTAGCTGCCGCTGCTGTATCAATTGCAGCAACTGCAGCAGCAACACCTGCGGAAAGTGCGTCAGCACCTCAGCAGCTACGAAAATGTGCAAAGCACCGGCTGTCGATCCCTCAGCAGCAGCAGGAGCACAAGACCTGCTGCTGCTGCTGGTTTCAAACCAGAAAAGGTGTTGCGCTGCTGGCAGCAACGGCCATGGCAACGCGAGGACTGGGGAGTCACTGCACCTTTTCAAAATATAAGAGCATCAGATTTCCCCAGTTTGTTGGAGTGCAGCGAAGTCTTCCTAATATCTTCGTATTTGGGAATAATGGCAACAGAAATAGACTTCGGCAGCTTCTTAGAGCTGCGGAGGATGCAGCAGCAGCGACAGCGACTGTTATAGCAGCAGCAGCAGATCGTTGGGTCTATTCTGCTGCACCTCCTCAGAAAGCAGCTTGCCCTGATAAAGCAGCAACGAGGTCTTCCGCTTCAGCTGCTGCTTGCCCTATCCGCAACTCAAACAGGAGCTAGGCCACCGCTTCTGCGACAGCTGCAGCAGCAACTGCAGCAGCAGCAGCAGCAGAAACAGCAACCGCAGCAGCTACTAGGGTTCCGCTTGGTAGTCGTAGTCCGCCCGCGGTTCGTCGTCTTCGTCTGCCTGCACAGTGCTTCTGAGGAGGGTGCCTAAGTTGATAATTGAATTTTCGTTTGAAATGTTCAAAGGATAAAAAGAAACAAGTCCGAATTCCTCCAAGACAGAAGCAAAGGCCCGGTGAAGGTCACGGAAGTTCGCAGGCATGTTGTCCTGAGCACAGCAGCAGCAGCAGCAGCCGCAGCAGCAGCAGCAGCACATCCAGCGGCGAAGGGAGCAGCACTACGCCTGCGCTACAAACACAACCAGCAGCAGCAGCAGCAGCAGCAGCATCGGCAGCAGCAGCAGCTGTTGCTGCAGCTTACATCCAGTTCGTCCACTATTTGCTGCACGTCCTTTGAAAGCAGTTGTTCGACAACAATATCTTCTTCCGTTTCATCTGGGTCTGCGTCGTCCACCCGTACGGCGAAAGCTGAGGTGTCTATACACCTGCCGGCCCACTGGGCGCCCTCCGTGTCGGTTTGGTCTTCATCACTTTCCTCGCTTTCTTCTTCTTCGCTGTCCTCTTCCTCTTCGCGTTCGTCTGCGGCAGCAGCAGCTCTTGTTGCAGCAGCGCCTCTGGCTCTGTGGCTGCGTCTTGGCGCGCGCTTGCTGCTGCTCCCCCGGGTGGTGATGTTCAGCTTGCTGACCAAGTCGCACTTGGTCAAAATGTTGACGTGGGGGAGTTCGAAGAAAAGCATTGCGTTGAGAGCCAGCAACGAGCCGCTGATGGACTTGGCCGCGTCCGTGAAGAAGTTCACGTCCAGACAATAAGCCACGCAAAATCTGAATCCTTGTTTTTCCAAGTAGTTGAAGATGAATCGGAAAGAGTCGAGGTGTACGAACAGCTCGATTTGCCCGGGCAAGTCGAACAGCAGCAAGTCGTCTTCGCACAACTCCAGCAACTTCTCCTCTAGCCACTCCTTGTGCTGCTCCAAGTACTCAATGCAGAACACCAGAGAGCCGTTCGGGCCCAGTTGCAGCTCCTCTGCTGCGTCATCTGCTGTTATTAGTTCTCTTATGTCCACCAGGGGCTCGTAAGGCATGTACTCAGCAGCAGGGTCCAGGTTCACGCAGGCCACGCGGTGTCTAGAAACCTCGTACTGCTGCTGCAGGTAGTGACACAAAGTGCTCTTCCCGCTCCCCGCCGGGCCCATCAACAAAACCCCGTAACGAACCATTTTGCTGCTCCCCACACTCCGCTTCTTCGCTGCAGCTCGCTGCTCTCCCCCTGCTGCTGCTTCCGACGCTGTAGCAGCCACAGACGCTGCTGGTGATGCAGCTCCTGCTGCTGCTGCTGCTGTTGCTGCTGCTGACGGCGCTGCGGCAGCGGAATTTGCTCGCTGCAGCCTCTATTGCAGGTCTTGCTTCTTGAGCGTGAAGTTCGGGCTGCGCGCATGCAAGTCTTCTGCAGAAACTGCTGCAGTTCTTGCTGCTGCAGCGTTTGCTGCAGCAGCTGCGCCTGCTGCAGATGCTCCGGCTGGCAGGGCTCTTGGTGTCGTTTTGCTACCAATCTGGGGGCCTTTAGAAGCCACGCATACAAGTGGGGCTCCGCAGCGGCGTTGGTAACCCTCACTGCTGCTGTTGCTCCTGCTGCTGCTCCTGTGTTGCTGCTGCTGCTGCTGCTGCTGCTGCTGTTGCCGCTGCCGCTCTCTGCTGGTTGTTTAGTTGCGGCGGCTGCAGAAACCGCCGCTGCTGCCCCGGGATGCTTGCCTTCTGAGAAACTGCAGCGTCACTTCCTCGGGAATTTCTGTCCTGCTGCCTTCGCCGCTGCTGCTGCTGCTGCTGCTGAAGGCTGGAGAAGCACGCAGTGGTCAAATGCAGGCCTTTGTGTATCTGGAAGACATATTTAAAAACAAATTTGAGATTAATACGAAGGATAAAAGATACAGTTGGAAGTTAGGGGTCACTTGCCCAGGGAAGGCCCTGGAAAGCCCCGTTGCGCAGCAGCAGCAGCAGCAGGAGCAACAGCAGCAGCAGTAGTTGAACACTGAGGCTTTGTTTTGCTGCATTTACACCTCAGCCTTAGTTGGTTTCTGGGGATCTTGTTGGCTCAAGCGGTTTTCTTCCTTCCGCGGTGGGCCTTGTGGGGGGCCCATAAACCATAAAC